GTCCCCCATTTTCGGAAACCCCCCCAGAGCCTCCAAAACCCTTAATTAAGGAATATACCTTAAATCATATTAGGGCTCCTATTATAATTTAAGGTATATTCCTTAATTAAGGGGTTTTGGAGTCTCTGGGCCCACATCGTCCCCCCAAACCCACGACTCGGTGGCCGACTGGTGCCGGGAGCCCGCAAGGCGCTCACAGCCTCGGCGTCGATGCGATGCGGTAATATAGGGGCCTAAATAATTGCCGATACCATTATGGGGGTTCCTTATGAGAATTATAGTATAATGGGCCCCAAACCCTATTCTAATTATTAAGGCCCTTCGGGTTTTTGGGGTTTATGCATGCAGTGACAGAGACACTTCGGACGACAGTTCGGGTTTAGGGGTTTTAGGGGGGGTTAGGGGTTTAGGGAGTCAGTGGGTTCGGGTTTAGGGCTATGCCAGAGTTCGTATACAAGCTTTCTACAAGTTGCAATTGCTTGCGGTTGTAAGAGGGAGGGGCAATACGGTCTTGCTAAGGATTTACTGGGTGACGATCGTGAATCAGGCTACTTGAAGGCTCATGGGACTTAGTAAGTAAGGTTATAAGTAGGTTATAATTAGGATAACCCCACTTAGGGGACTTATAACCCCAATTATAACCGTCCCATGATCCTCTAAGTAGGGGTTTAGGACGGCTGCTCCAAGGTTTACGGCTCTCTCGGGGTTAGGCAAAAAGGATGCTAGCAGGGACACTGCGAGGCTAGGAATTTAGGGGTTTATCATGCTTCCTAAAAGCAGCTACTACTAGTACTACTGCTGCTGCTGCTGCTGCTGCTGCTGCTGCTGCTACTGCTACTGCTACTGCTACTGCTACTACAGTTTTCGGGGATTGCTGCATAAGAACAAGTAAGATAAAGACTACTACGAGGGGCGCGAAAGGAAGTGTCAACCTGCCCCTATGTTCGATTCGAGCTTTGGGGTTAGCCCCGAAGCTATCCCACCCAGTTATGTGTTATCTGGGGCAAGTCGCAACACACCAAGCACTTCGGGCTTGGATTCCTTTAAATAACAATAACAATAACAACGCTATTAATACTAATAATAACAAAAATACCAAGAACAGTAATAATGCCATCCCCCCCTGAAGTGCGACTGTTTCTCGAGAACGTGCACAGGGCCAAGGTCGGAGGGGACATTGCACTGGCCGTGCTTGTGGCGACCGAAGCAGACCAGTCGAGAGTCCTCCGAAACGGCACAGGTCATGGATTCGCCGGCAGCCACCGCCACGACGGGGCCCAGGTTTCGGGGCACCGCACATTGGCCGTAGAGGTTGCTGCCAAAACATGCGAGCCGGCCGCTGCGAAGCAGCACACAGGTGTGGAGGGCCCCGGCCGCCACGGCCTTGGCAGGGCCAAGGCTCTTGGGGACGTCGCACTGGCCGTCGTCACGGAGACCAAAGCACCACAGCGATCCATCCGCCGTAATCACACAGGTATGAAAGGCTCCGGCTGCGACGGCCACGGCGGCGCGCAGTTCGGCTGGAACCCCACACTGACCGTACTCGTTGTCTCCGAAACACACCAACTGCCCATCGGCCTTAATGGCACAGGTGTGATGCATCCCTGCAGCCACGGCGACCACAGGTCCCAAATTCGGTGGGATGTCACACTGGCCATATCGGTTGCCTCCAAAGCAGACGAGCTCCCCACCCACGCGGATGGCACAGGTGTGGTCCCTGCCTGCGGACACCGCCAGCACAGGGCCAAGGTCCGAAGGACTTCGGCACTGTCCGGCGTAGTCGTGGCCAAAGCACACCAGCTCGCCGTTAGCTTTGACAGCGCAGGTGTGGCAGCTTCCGGCTGAAACGGACAAGACGCGGCCGAGGCCGCAGGGCACGCTGCGCTGCCCGTAGTCTGTGTACTCCCGGAAGGTATCCCCGAAGATGCTCAGCTGGCCTCCGACAGTAATGGCGCAGGTATGGTAGCTGCCTGCTGCCACGGAGCATCGCCGCATCTTGAGCTTCAGGCAGGGCAAGACGAAGGCGTCGATGACACAGGCCATGACGCCCAAGTGCCTGAACTGCCTCTTCTTCAGGTCTACAAGGATCCAGACCAGGTGGTGCCTGGGTTCTTGTTTTAGCAACTGAATTTAAGCTACCATAATAATAAGGAGGAAACCGTATTATTCACTATAGATCCCGATTATGGTTGCTTCAATTAACATTCCTTAACTTCCTTAACCCCGAAACCCTTATAGAGCCCTTAATAGATCCCTATTATGGTAACTTAACCTAAATGTTTTTTGAAACACAAAAGAGCCCAGGCGCAGGTCTCTCTCCAGCACCATCCGCCGGCCTCCGAGGCACATAGCCATGGCAATGAGGCGGAGGCTCTGGGCAGCTATGCCCAACTAAGAGGGTGCCCCACGAATCGCCCGGAGGGAACAAGCCCAAGATAGTTTACATATTACAAGTATATATACATTGACATTTATAACGTGTATTTATATATTCATTATATGTGTATGTACATTATTAATACAGAATAGCCCGGTGTACATTTATGACGACCCGTCGCAGCCTCTGAGCTTCCCGGCACCGCTCTGGGGTAGCACGAGCCCAGAAGGGTGCGGGCGAACAGGATGTGCAGAACATGCAAACAGGAAAGCTACTGGAAGGTTCATGGCTAGTTATAAGTCGGGTTATAAGTAGGGCAACTATACTTATAAACCATATTAGGGGACTTACAATCCCACTTATAACTACCCATGAACCTCCAAGTAGGAGGGGGGGCACGGGGCAGGGCCTCAGTGGTTGCCGCAGATCGGGCAGGTAACATTTGAGGAGCGCCAGCCAAGCTAAGGTTGATGTCCGCTGCCGTGGTTTCTTGGGTCCTGGCGATAATTTCAAACCCTGAACCTTGCCCTCCCGTGTTAAAACGCCGTCGAGCAGCGCTTCAGGGACTTCTCGCGCACCTCGTGTGCGGCGCACGCCTCGAAAGCCGGTCAATCGTGATTGAGTTTGGGGTTCAGGTGTGGACTTGGGGGACACTGCCGATCACCATAGCCACCATGGCCATAGTGTGTTCTTGTGACGTGGAAGGCCAGTTCTGAAGAAATCCCAATAAGACGAAGAAAGTATCTGAAAAAACTCAGGATTCTTGTACGATAAGGCTGGACGGAGGCTGGTGGCTAATATTCGTCGCTTGGCACCCACTGGAAAGATCATGGGTACTTGCACGAGAAGTAGCTATAGTTCTAGCTTCCTTTTTGCCTCAACAGAGGCACTGGCATCATCCGGATACCCGGCGAGTTTGACCGCCCAGGATTCTCTGCACGTGTTCGGGCGTCAGTCTCCGAGCTTCGAACCAAGCCGAATGCTTGCGGCTCGGAGCTGGGAGTTGTCTACGGTTCTGGATGTAGGGACAATGAAGAGACCCAGAAACCGCAACGACATACCTTAAGTACTTGAAGGCTCATGGGACTTAGTAAGTAAGGTTATAAGTAGGTCATAATTAGGATAACCCCACTTAGGGGACCTTTAACCCCAATTATAACCTACTTACTAAGTCCCATGATCCTCTAAGCACTGTCAACCCTCAGGCAGCCGTAGACGCCAGACCTGAACCTGAAAACCCTAAACTTCCCAAAACCCTAAACCCTAAACTTCCCTAAACCCTAAACCCCGAAACCCTAACCCCTAAACTTCCCAAAACCCTGACGCCCTCAACGAACTCGCCACCCCAGCCTTGGCCCAGTGCAGGCGCGAGGGGCGCGGGCCCCGGCTGCGCGCCGACGCCAGGGAGGCCACCTGATAAGGGGCTTAGGGTTTTGGGAAGTTTAGGGGTTAGGGGTTTAGGGTTTTGGGAAGTTTAGGGGTTAGGGTTTCGAGGCTTAGGGTTATAATTTGGGTTATAAGTCCCCTAAGTGGGGTTATCCTAATTATAAGCTACTTATAACCTTACTTACTAAGTCCCATGAGCCTTCAAGTAGGGTTTTGGGAAGTTTAGAGGTTAGTTTGGTGGTTTAGGGTTTAGGGGTTTAGGGTTTAGGATTTAGGGTTTAGGGTTTAGGGCAGGGCCTACTGTACACTGCAGATTTCTGTCTGGTTCTTAGTAGGGAATGGGGGAATGGCTTATGGAGGCGATTATTGGGGATTATACAGCGGCTACTCTAGGGATCCATTCCCCCATTCCCTACTAAGCACCAGGTAGAAGTCACAGACTTTGGGCCTTCACCGTTCGATGTAGAAGTGGCGAAGCACTTCTTCGGGAGCCCTAATATGGGGCCTTGATAATTAGAATAAGGTTTCGGGGCCCATTATTACTATATTTATAGTATAAGGAACCCCCAAAATCATTATTAAGGCCCCTGTGTTATGAATCTGTGGTACAGTATGCTCCACAGGAGCAGACGAGCCTTCCAGCCAAGGAAAGCATTCGGCAGCACGTCGCTGTCCCCGTCCATGGGCACACGAAACCACAAAAAGCACTGAAACTAAGCTGAAACCCCTCGGTACATAATCCTCAAGCTCAACAAGAGCCCCACAAACAGCTTTCCTGTTGTCGGAGGCCTTCAATGGTGATCTAGGAAAGCCTCGGAGTGACTCCAGCACGCTGGAAGCCCCTAAACCCCAAACCCTAAGCATCCTTTGGGCCTTCTGACATCTTTCTACTGGAAAGCTCTGACCATACTGCCCGGAGCTTGCTTGGGGATGTAGGGCTCTAGAAGTTTAGCGAGTTCAGCATATGAACTTTGTAATCCGAGTCTGGGCCCAGGGTGTTGGACGGAAGTTTTGAGTTCCGGGCTTAGCATGATGCGTGCGAGACAACCTGTTCCTAGTGCAACGAACTGAAGCTGTGCATCGAATTCCAGCTGCGGGCAGCGACAGCGAGCTGAACGACTGAGAAGGCGAAGCGGCTCTCGTTCATGAGATGACATCAATGCTGTGCTATGTAACAGTGCTCGTAAGGCCTTCGTATGTGGCCAACGATCCCGCAAGCAACATCCGCCCCGGAACGTCACAAAGGCAAAGTCGCGCAGGCCACATCATCATGCAGGGCAAAGATCTCGTCCTCCATCAGCGCTTCCCTCTCCTCCTGGTGCCGGGGGGCTCTAATCGCAGGAGGAACGGATGGGGGCTTTGGGCATCGCTTATGAAGAAGTAGGACACCCGCGAAAGTCCAGGACATAAATCGCACCCGAAACCTGCAAACCACGAGCCCCAACGCCCTGAAACGCCAGGCCCGGGTGTAGGTTGCCTCAGCAAGAACAGCTACTATCGAGGATAAACAACCCGAAAGCCAGGCTCATCTCCAAGACCAAAGTCTAATTACGTCGCACCCCCACTGCCACGAAATAAGAAGTAATCAGCAAAAACCTCACGGGTCAGGAAAACCTGAGACTTGAACCTGAAACAAAGCTTTGGTAGTCATTTCCGACCAGTGATAGTGGTAACAGCATTAAGAGTAACAGCCATAGTGGCCATGAGGCAACAGCAACAACAACAACAGAGACGATGGCAGTGAAATCGCAACAACGGCAAATGTTACAGCTACAGCCAAGTTCTGCAAGACCGACACCGTAAGCCCGAAGCCTTCAGCCCCCACCACTAAACCCAAAATCCCAAACCCGCCGGAGACATCAGTACCCCTAAACCCCCAAACCCTAAACCCTTAAACCCTTGAACCCTTAAACCCTAAACCCTAGCTTCGGCCCTAAGGTCTAGGCTTCCTACAGGGAGCCCTTGAGGGATCTAGCAAGCTTCTCTATAAGTCAAACAAAAATCCAAACATGTTCCACAAAGGTCTTAGGATGTCGTAGAGATTACTTTCCGAATGGCCTAGGGCTTCAGATTTTCTGGGGGACTTCCCTAAACCCTGATCCCTCCTCGGAGGCGGAGGGCAGATGGTTGTAAGCATCCTCAAGGCGCCTCACCACGGGGTTTCGGTTCCTTTCAGGGTGCCCTAAAAAGGGCGGCAGGGCGCTATACGGGCTACACCATAAGGGTTCTAGAATGGGGTTTCTGGGAGTTTGGGGGCTTGGGGATTCAGGGCTTCAGGTTTCAGGTTGAAGGGTTTATGCTTGAAGCTTGAAGTGATGTCTAGGATTCTGGGCCTTGGGCTTGGGGGCTAAAGTGAGAGTTTTGGGCTTCGGGTGTTGGATTTGATCCTCAGCCTTAGACAATAAACTGTGAGGTTTGCTTCAGGGCCTGGGGTGCTCAGAGCTCATCTGAACTTTCTGCCTTGCCAACCCATGAAGATCCGAATCTGCGTGTATGTGCTGCCTACGATTGCAACACCAGGGTTGGTCCACAATAGCCTCGCAAAGTCATGTACAAAACACCAGGACAGCCTGGACTTGGACTCCCTGCAAGACAGCCTTAGTCACCTGCCGTAGAGTCTCAGACAACGTCTAGGTGTCTGCCAAAAAAGATTTGCCTCTGCGGCGAGGTGAGGTAAGTCCTCAGCAGTTTGAGGGACGGCAGGCAGGTCTGGGTTTTGGATTAAGTTTGGCATGCTACTGTTTAGAGCTTCTTGTTCCGGGCTTGGGGTTGGGGGTTCAGGACTTCGGGCGTAGGGTCTGAGGGACTATAGGCCCAAAGCGGATTCAGGTTTCGAGGTCTGCGGGGCCATGGTTTGCTCAGGATTTCGGAGTGCCTGCTCTACTCGTACTAGTAGCTTCCTCGCTTCTCGCTGAAGCAAAATCATGGCCGAACTAAGCCGCAGATCCCAAACCCCAAACCGGAAAACAACAACCCTACAACCCACAAAAACTCCAAGCATCCCGCACCCCAAAAGCCTGAGACCGAAGCCTTAAACCCTATCCCTAAGCCCTTAAACCTTTAAACCCTAAAGCCCCAAACCCACAAGCCCTAGAACTAGCTGAAGCCCTGAAACCCCAGACTCCCAAACTCCAAAGCCTCAAACCCTAAACACACCCCAAGCCCCCTAATCTAGAGGCCTCAATAATTAAACTAGGGTTTTGGGGCCCATTATACTATAATCATAATAAGGAAACCCCCAAACAGTATTGGTAATCATTTAGGCCCATATAGTAAACCAAGCTCGCTTTCACCAAGGCCCTGGCACAGGGATTTTCGACGGCGCGCTCTGGGCTCTGCCGTTGACCAGCGGGTTCTGGCCTTGGTGGGGGGTTAGTAGGGAATGGAGGAATGGGGTACAGTTATAATTACTATTACTACCATATAACTACGATACCATATTACTACCATATTACTACTATATAACTACTATTGCTGTACTACCATTCTTCCATTCTTTGAGTCCGTTGGGGGTTTGGGGGTTTTGGGTTTAGGGTTCAGGGGTAGGGTTCAGGGTTTTGGGTTTGAGGGTTTAGGGGTTAGGGTTTAGGGGTTTAGGGGTAGTGTTCAGGGTTTGGGGCTGGGGGTTAGGGTTTGGGGGTTTGCGAGCTTTGGGGCTGAAAGGCTTTCGATTGGATTGGGGTCTTCAGGGTCTTGTGTGTTTTGTAGCTCTGGCTGCTATGGTTTGCCACTGCTTGCATGGAAGGTTCTACCCGGAAGCTGCCGAACAACAACACATGGGTAGTCTCTCATTAAATTGGAAATCCTTTTGCAGGCTTTTCTTGCAGCTCCTCATTGTTACGGTCGCCTTGAACTCCACCAGGTGACAGTCGTCCAACTCACCGCAGACTTGCATCCACAGCGGCTGTCATCCCGGTAGCCGCTGGACGACTACTGTTGCTGATTTCGACGTGTTTTGATCACCCAATACCAGGTCCTAAACCCTAAACCCTAAACCCAATATCAAGTCATAAACCCTAAACCCCTAAACCCTAAACCCTAAACCCAATATCAAGCCATAAACCCTAAACCCAATATCAAGTCCTAAACCCTAAACCCAGTATCAAGTCCTTTAAACCCCAACCCGTGGCTCGGCAGTGTCCTGGCACTGAACTGGGTGCCCTGCTGCGCGAGGCTACCGAGGCATATGCCACCGAGGCCTTGGCATCATCAAAAGCCACGTCAGATTACAGCCGGCTCTTTGGGCTTTAGGGTTTAGGGTTTAGGCTGGATCTATCTAAGATTCAGGGTTATGCTTAGGGTTGAGGATTCCGGGCTTTATAGTTCTTGTGCTTAGGCTTCTAAGGAAGCTGCTTATAAGGGTTTAGGAATCAGGGCTTCATGGGCTTTTGTGCTTCGGGCCGACGGTTCTGGGAGCTTTGAGCCGGCGCCGAAGCTTCCTAAAGTCTTCTACCTCGGGGGGGCTCTGCAAGGCTTTCAGGGTTTATGGCTTAGCGTTTAGGGCTTAGGGTTGAAAGTTTAGTGTTCAGAGTTTAGGGTTTGAGGGAGCAAAGCCCAAAAACAAAGTTCGGCACTATTGCATTGCTCAGTTGGAGGAGTCTGTTGTCGCGGGCCTACATAAGTCGAGCCAAGCCCTGTGATTTCGGGCCACCTGCTTAACTTACGGTAAAGCAAGCCCCCGAGCCAAACTCAGCGAGGCCTTCCAAGGAAGGTATGCCCTAGACCCCAAACCCCAAACCCTAATTCCAACCCTGAACACTGAACCCTGAACCCTAAACCCTAAACCCCAAACCCTGCCCAGAGCTGCTACTCATTACTATTCACCCAGCGTCGCGCCTCGTACGGGCTCAGCTTCTGCTTCATCAGCTGGCTCTGGATCTCATCAGGCGCAAGCCTTGACTTCTCGCAGTTCCAGAACTCCGTGCGCAAGTAATGTAGGAGCCTCAATAATTTAGACTAGGGTTTTGCGGACCCACTATACTATAATTATACTAAGGAACCTCAAACATAGTACTGGCAATTATTAAGCCCCGACATTATCCTGAACCTGGGCTTTTCAGTAACGGTAACCACGGAGAAAAAAATCTGAACTTACATGTCATAAAGGTTCCTTAAACAAAAAGAGGTATTAAAGTATGGTACTCCAAAGCCTAGTAATACACCCAAACAGAGCACGAGCCTGGGACCACATTCACTGCCGTTGCCTGCCTGATTCGGGGGGGATCAGCTTTTGGGCTGAAGCCGCTATCAGAGCTTTAGGGTTTAGGGTTTAGGGTTTCATAAATTCAAGTTTTTTTGGGTGGTTGTCAAAATGATGGTCCCTTTTCGGATACCCCCAATATCAGGTGCCGTATTATAAAAAAACAGAAAGGGACAACCACCCACATGGCTTAGGTCCTAGGGCGTTGGAGCTTCGAGGTTTAGGGCCCGGGCATTCTGGCTTCACAGGCTGCGACGTTTAAGGAGAGCTGCGCGGTGTAGCGTCAGTCTAACCGTGGTGCTTCTTGGATCGGGTTTAGTTTTGGGTTTCGAATCGGAGAAATCTTCTTGGGTTAGGGTTTAGAGTTTAGGGTCCCGGGTTCGCGGCTTCGGGAAGGGGGTTCTGAACATGGATCCCTAAAACTCGCGTTACCGTGGCGAGGAGGAAGCACCACGAGGCCGCATGAGTTCTGTGCGTGAAAGGATGCCCAGATCGTGGTAGTGAATCTGGCCGCTGCTATATGTCTAGCATGATCCCGGTTATTCAAAGTATTGGTGCTTGGAATATTCTTGGTCACTCTTCATAATACCAGGTAGTGACTAGAACCAGCAGCACCCAGCGTACTGGCAATAGCTACAAAGGGCCTTGAACCCCAACCCCTGAACCCTAGACTCAAATCTCTGAATCCTTCACTTCAGGACTTAAAATCCCAAACTCCCCAAAAACCCTAAATCCAAAACCCTAAACCTAAATCCTCAACCAAGAACCCTGAACCCCCGAACCCCAAAAACCCCAAACCTAAAAACTCCAGAAACCCTACGCCTCCGCGTGCGTCGACGCAACGGGGGCAGGTGGCCGTCGCGAGGGCGCCGGCGCAGAAGGCGGCCTGGAGCGAGGCCTCCAGGGCTCGCGAAAACTGAATCCCAACCCTGGAGTCACAGCAAAGCACATATCTCTATATGTATTTGTGTATATATGTATAACACTTATAAAAACAGTGTGTATAAATGTATATATATATGTATATGTATATATATATATATATATATACATATATATATATATATATATATATATATATATAAGAGTGTGTGGAAAACAGGGCTTTGAGGTTTAGGGGTTTTGGGCTTAGGTTTTGGGAGTTTAGGGCTCAAGGGTTTGGGGGTCTGGGGTTTAGGGTTTATAACGGCTTAGGGTTTAAGGCTTTGAGAATTTTCGGGTGTGTTGAACAACCCCCAGCACTACATTCCAACAACAGATCGGGGTAAACGCCCTTTGGCTGTGTTTAACAACCCCCAATCAACACATTTCAAAAACGATCGGGGTACCCTAAACCTCCAATGCCAAACCGTGGAAAATGAAACCCCATTCTAGAAGCCAAGAACCAAGAGCCCACAGAACTCCAAACCCGAAAACACCTGATCACACTGAAGCCTCTGCGTCAAACACTGTTAGTACCATGATCATGAAGTCACCGACGCTGCAGCCTAAACCCTAAACCCCTAAACCCTAAACCCCTAAACCCTAAATCGGCCGATTTTCGGCCCACGCACCGCGTCGGGCGTGGCTCCTTCTTGGAGCCGGCGGCTCAAGCCAGGTCGGTACAGCTTGGGGCTGAATTTGAGGATCTATAAGGGTTCCTTTAAAGGGATCTATAGAGGTTCCTTTAAAGGGATCTATAGGGGTTCATGGATTTAGGGTTTAAGGGTTTAAAAGTTTAGCCCGAAGAATCAGAATACAGAGCTCATGAGGCTAGGGTTTCAACGGCGTGTAGAGAGGTCTGTCGAGTCTTTTTCAATGTTCTTGCAATAAATCACTTCACTACTACAAGTTAACCCCAAACCCAGTTATGATCAATGAGGCCGCTGCGTTACCATGGGTCTCCGGAGAAGCAACCCGACCCCTGGACCTCCCCCATGTGGGAGTTTCCAAAATTGGGGGGTACCTTAGTTGGGAACCTTGGAATACGGATTCTATTATTTAGGGGCACTTTCTTAGGGTCCCCCATTTTCGGAAACCCCATATAGAAAGCCCGAGTAGCTAGGGGTACTTCAAGGGCCATAGGGTCTGAGCTGCGTGCTTGCTACAGAATGCAAAAAAAAGTCCTGAATGGGGGGCTGAGATCGGGATAGGCAAGCAAATTCCGATGCCCCTCAAAACCGACCCGACTGCAGAGCCGCATCTGGGCGCCTTCTGCATAAGCAGGGCCGCCACTCACTCTGCTATGGCATTCTTGCAGAACGGACTAGAAAAGCCTACGATAGGGGCCGTACTAATTAGACTAGGGTTTTGGGGGTATATTATACAATACTTGTAAAAAGGAATCCCCGAAACCCTGTTCTAATTATTAAGGCTCCTACACTACACCAAATCGTCTGCGCAGGAAACTCTTCGAAGCAGGTGGCTGATCGGGTGTGACGACCCAGGCCGGGACAACCTGAAGCCCGAATCCCTTTCATCCCTAAACCAATAAATGGGTGGTTGTCAGAATTATGGTCCCTTCTTGGGTCCTTCATATAATACGGCATCTAATAATTAGGGTACCCACGAACATGTGAAGCGTTACCCAACTATGACAAAGAAGCCCATAGTGTAGGGGCCTTCTATAACAATTCGAATAGAGTTTTGGGCTCCTTTATAGTATGTAATCATAGCAAGGCAAACCCTTAGGAATAACATAGGTACTCATGTAGGCTTCTTTCCCCGAGCCCCTAACCCAGAGCCTTAGACACTAAACCCTAAACCCTAAGCCCTCAAGAAAGTGATAAATAGAAATTGCTTGTCCTTGTTTGCAACCACCGCTACGGCCCAACACAAAAGTTTCAAAAAAATGAACAAGCTTCTTGATAAACCAGTTTCTCTACAAACTTGTGACCACCGGTACGGCCCGACCAACATTGAACTGGAGCTCAAAAACGGAACAAGTTTCTTGATAAACCAATTTTTTTACAACCTTCAGCCCAGGCAACCCAACCCACCAGCCAGTCCAAGCAGCCCGACCCAGCCTAGGCCAGCCCAGCCCAGCCAGGCAGCCCAGCCCAGCCACTGCCCAGCCCAGCCCAGCCCAGCCCAGGCAAGAACTTTCGGTCAAAACGTTTCGTTCAAAACGTTTCGTTCAAAACGTTTCGTCTCTCCTATGGCATCTCTCACACATATAACCCCTGCGCGGCCCGAAATTCAATTACAACACTACCCAACTGCGGAGACCATATCATGTTCACATGTCATTCGCCTAGCGAGATATCGAACCCACAGTCAGCAAAATATATTATGCAACTAGCTGCAATCCGACGAATAACAATCGATCTATACAATGAATCGATATGTGAAAAAGGGACGAAGGGTGCAAAGAGCTAGCCGAATGCCCTGGACTGCTCCAACATTCGCCGTCAACTACCCTCCGGCTAACTGTCGGCGCCTCTTTGGCGGTGGCAGCTGTCGCCGCGTCTCACGTCGCTACCTCGCAGTCGAAAAGTCTCAAGGGCTTTCCGGCATGGGGGCTCCCGACCAAGGTCCCGGCTCCTCCTGCTCTCGCCGAATCTCCTCCATTCGCAGCCTGCCAGGTCACACGGGAAACAGCTGAGCACACCCCCTAAGGAAACAGCCTGGCCAGGAGCAGCGTGTTGATCTGGTCGAGGAGCTCGTGCAACTCAAGTGAGCTGCACTCGTCCAGCATCTGCCGGGGCTCCTCCCGACCGAAGTCGCGAAGCCACGTCTCCTTCAGCGACATCACCTCACAAAACAAACAAGGCGCACTGGAATCGAGAGAGGAGGGCCTGGGGCCCGCACCAATGCACCGAGCCCTCCAAAGGGGAAGCCCGCCACGCCCGAGACTCGAAATGGCTGCAGCAAGAAGCAAGGGCTCACAACTGAAGGCTGCTCGGAATTTTTTGGCGCCCGTTGCGCGCCGGTTCAGCAACTCGTCCCAAGCCGGCCCCGGAAGCATACTCGCCGATCTGGCGGAGCTCCCGCTGTACGTGCCGGCGGCTGTGCGATGGGGCTTGGCTGGACAAAACTAAAACTACGCAAAGTGCACCTCGATCCAGCCGGCCTTCGGATCCGCAGCCTTCCCGCCGCAGCTCAACGTGTTGTTCTTGGTCACCGTGAAGGGCTTGGTCTGGCGAGCACTGCGCTCCTTGCCGTTCTCTTCCCAACCCATCCTGCAGGCGGTCAAGGTCCGGTTCTCGAAGAGGCGCTTCACGATGGGATCGGCGACCTGGAACTCCTCGAGGTTGCTGGCAAGAAGCTGGAACCAGTTGTCCTTCAGCTCGTAGCCCTTGAGCCCGGAGCGTTCCACAAGTGCCGGCTCCGCAGCTTTGGGGGCAGGCTCCTCCATCACAGCATCCGCCTGCTCGTCGGGCTCCTTCTCGGACTCCTCGGGCTGCTTCTCCTTCGCGACCTCGGGAGCACCCACCTTGGTGACATTCTTGTTCGGGTCGATGTCATAGAGGTCCTCCTTCGCCGGATCGGGGCCAGGAACTCGGCATCGCCCGGCTCCATCTTCACCTCCCGGGCAGGCCCCAGCGGGCTGAAGCCCACGTTGCGCTCGACGACCCTGCCATGCACTGTCGTCTCCCACAGCTCCTTGGGGTCGGCGGGCGCGGTGGGCTCGACGACCTCCGGCGCGGTGGGCTCGACGACCTCCGGCTCGGTGGGCTCGACGACCTCGGGCTCGACGGGCTCGGTGGGCTCGCTGGGCTCGACGGGTTCGGCTGGCTCCACCGGCTCAACAGGCTCGGTGGGCTCCGTCTCGGTCTCGAACTCCGGAAGGCTCTCGGCTGGCGTGAAAGGGGCCTCGGTGGACTTCGCAGAGGGTGCCTCGATGGCCTCGCAGCGCTGGCTGGCGCTTCGACGCTGGCTCGGGCAGCTCCGACTCGGCCTCCCCAGTGCGAAGCGGCAGCTTGAAGAGCAGGCGCCTCACAATGTCAGGCACCACCAGGCGAAGGGTGGCCTGGGCCGGGAGCTTCTTGTTTTCGTGGTCCAAGAGCAAAGGGCGGGCATCTTTCCAACTGAGATTGTCGTAGATCACGCCCTTGTGGATGGCCCGCAGCCTGATGTGGCGCATGGTCAGCTCAGGACTCTGGACCTTGAGCTCGGCCATGTTCACCGGCTTCACCAGCTGAAGCTTGAAGAGGCAGTAAAGCAAGACGAACATGAGGCCGAGTCCTGAGAGGTCGTCCGTGCTGCTTGGTCAAAGCACGCTCTAGCTCCCTCCGGGGAAGACGCGGCCAGGAAGTCGGCCGGTTCTTCTTGAGGTGGGACTTCGCTACGTGCTTTATGTAGCACGCAGCATCAAAGGCACCGATGTCATCCTGCGCATGCAGAGCTGCCGAATCAAAACACAGTCGCATTAACTGCTAAAAGTTTTCATGTCACAGATCGGCCTCCGATGACGCGGCTGCTTCGAGGTTCGGATGTGAGGCAACAAAAGTGCCGCAGCGTCCGAACCAAGCACGTGCTTTCCTGGAGGGAGCCAGAGGTTGCCGAGCTTGTTGTTGTGGCTCAACAAGTGCTCGTCCTTGGCATCGATGAGTGTCAAGCATAGACGAACTGTCAGCAACCGCATTCACTTTCCAACAAGTTCAACAAAAGCAACTTTCGTCAAGCTACGACCGCCTCTAGGACTCGTTCACGCGGGGCAGTCCCAAGGGGAATCATGAGGCGGTGCCTGAGACTCTCTGCAACTCCAGGGCCTCTCCTGCAGGTACATGTTACATGCATACAAGAACAATGCACTCAGGTCTATCCTACATACTGCAACACTCGCTCCTGGCGAAGCCGGCTGGCCGGCCACGAGGGAGGCTAAGCGCAGAAAATCGTCCATGGCCCATTTTCCGGGGACATCCATCGCCTGAACTGGCAGTGATCCGCTCCACTGTAAAATGTGGGTTCAAAACA